GTCCGGCAGGGCCGACTTGTCGGTGCGGCCGGCCCAGTCCAGGTTCAGCGTCAGCGGCTTGCCCTTGTAGAGCTCGATGCCGGCGAAGGTCTTGACGGTCTTGCCGTCCGGGCCGACCAGATCCAGCCGGTAGGCGAACTGCTGGCCTTCCGGGGCGCCGAGGTAGTCCATCGACAGCGTGAAGCGGCGGGCGCCGCTGGGCAGCTCGCTGACGAAGGGCACGCCGAGGTCGGTCTCGAACTCGTGGTGGTCCGGGTACTTGACGCTGGGGTGCACGTCAGCCGTCTTGACCAGCGAGTCGCTGGCCGCGGGCGCGACGGTGGCCTGGGGCGGCTGGGCGCCACCGCAGGCGGCCAGCAGCAGGGGCAGCAGACACGCGGTCAGCGGATGCAAGGTGAAGGAGCGCAGTTTCACGGGAGGATCCTCGGCAAGGGTGGACGGGCGGCGGGCGATAGCCCGTTCAGCGAGCGCGGCGGCGGGCCAGCAGGCCGACGGCAGCGAGGCCGGCGAGCATCAGCGCGTAGGTCTGCGGCTCGGGGATGGGGGCGGGGTCGACGGGGACGTCGGGGATCGCGGTGCCGCTGAGCAGCACGTTGTCGTAGCGGATCGTGCCGCCCGTGGCGTAGGTCTGGCCGGCGGCCGTCGCGACGTAGCTGCTCGTGCCCGGCACGAAGGTGCCCAGGAAGCGGATGCCGAAATCGGCGTTGTTGTTCGCCGCGGTGATGGCGGAGAAGTCGTAGGTCAGGCCGTTGACGAAGGTCGTGGCCGACGCGGCGGGCATCAGGAAGGTGGTGGCGTTCTGCCAGGTGCTGCCGTCCACCGTGTACTGCAGCATCGTCCAGGCCGAGGCGGTGTTGCTGTTGCGCTGGGCAAAGGTCAGCACGAGGTCGGTGTAGCCGGTCGTGTCGATCAGGAACTGGATGCCGCGCGTCAGGTCGCCCGTGCCCTGGGCCGCGTAGGTGGTGGTGTTGAACGCGCTGCCGGTGCCGGAGCCGGCTGCGGAGGTGAACGTCACGCCGCCCACGGTGCTCAGCGAGCCGCCGTTGGCGGTCTGCGTGGCCTTCGGCGGCGTCGAGCAGGCGCTGCTGCACGAGTAGCTGTTGAAGTCCCACAGCGCGACGGTGTCGGCATGGGCGGCGAAGGCCGTGGCAAGCAGGGCGGCAAGGGCGACGGAACGGATTTGCATGGCGGTACTTCGGTTGAGCAGGGGCATGCCGCCGAGACCTTCCCGACGCGCCACGCGAGCGTAGTGACGCTTTATTTACGGTTTAGGAAAGTTCTACGGGGGAGTCGGAAATCTGCGCCCAAGCACGACAGGTGAAAATCCCGCAAACCCCCATAAACATTGGGGAGAACGGGATTTTTGGTTTTGGCAATGGGGCCTGCATCTACCCGCATTCAGGGGACGGCCGCGGCCCCGACCCGTTGCGCTGGCGACACGCCGGCGGCCCCGCCGGGCGTCCGAAGCCGGCTCAGGCAGCGCGGTAGGAC